ATTCGTGGCAACAATCAAAGTGCCCGTGACGAATAAATCAAATTACAATTCAAGATCAATCTCAAAGGTTCCCTTGAATTTATATTGGAAAAGTAGAATCAGAGGAATCATAGAGATTTTAACACTCAAATATTTGAAATAAAATACCACGATTGTTGCGATATTTTTCGGTCTTGATTTTATTTTCTTGACGCAAATTTATTGTCCACGGAACGATTTAACCAAATACTACAACATACTAAACCAACATACATCTACTTCATCATCCTTATAACTAAACCAAAATATTACAACAACATATTAAAACAACATACAATCACTTCATCATCCTTACGATAGCCAAAGCAAATAACAAAGCCCATGAAACCAAAATGATAATTCTTATCTTCTTCACTTTGACCTCTAAATTACTAGCTTTTTCAGCTTCCACAAGTTGAAATTGCTCCATTTCGTCAAGTTTAATCTTCAAAATATGTCTTTCAACCATGATAACATCTTCCATTTCATCATACAAGTTCTTAGAGTTGTCTCTTTCGTCTTTACTAGCATCCTCCAATTCCTCAACTTTTATCTTCATAGGGCCCCTTAAACCATTGTAGATTGTTCCATGAGGTAAACTTTATTCCTCAAATTGTTCCTCTCAACCTTAGCAGCATCAAGTTTAGTTTTTAAATCTTTGATCACCATCACCGCTCGACGAGGGAGCTCTTCATCAATCCATTCAATATATACCCAAGAACTAACATACATCATATCAAAATATACAACAGTTCTGGCAGTAGTTTTTGTACATAAACAATAAAAATCAAGAACGACCTAACTCGACAAAAGAAGGCGAATCAGCTAAATCGACCAAAAACAAAATAAATTCAAAACTAACCTTGGATCTTGGACATTTATGGAATATTCTCCCAACATTGGTGTTTGACCAAGCTACCAAATATAGCGCAAACAATTCACAATGACACCTTCTTGTATATTGAATTTCATGCTCATTCAAAGATAAATCAGACATTGAGCAAATATTTTGAAGGGAAAATAGAGATTTTTAAAATTGGGGAACAATGACAATTAGGATTTTTGGAATGGGTGAATATCAGTATAAGAAGAGGGAAAATAAGAAGAAAGAATAGCTTATGCGGATGCCATGTAAGCTAAATAATGTTGATGAGAAGGCTTATATGCCTAGCCGTTAGGTTGAAGGCATTATTGGCCCAATTTGCTAACGTGGGGGATATTATTGGCCCAGTTACTAGCTGAGGACAAAATTGAGCTATATCCAATAATTTAAGGATATTATTGGACCTTTTCCCCTTGAAACCCCTCCACTTGGGTAGTAGTTGCTTCCCCGGGCGAGGGCACCACCACGTATTTATTAGCCCAGTTGCAATCCTCTTTGACCTTGGAAAGGATCTCATCGGTGATCGAGCATATATATCTCGATACCGGCTCGCATCGACCCGGTACCGAAGAAGTTTTTTCGACCTTGAAATCAACACCGATCAAGCACCCACCAGGAACAAACTCTTCAGGGTGTGGTTCCACCGCTGGTCCATCGCCCGCAGGTCGTGATGAAGAGACAATCTCTTTTTGTGGAACTGTCTTAGAAGTTTTTGCTATTTTTCTTTTGAATAAGAGATGAAGAAGAGGAGGTTAAAAGGTCGCGCTTAATGTTTTTGAATGAAGATGAGCAAAAATTCTTGAAAAAGCCTCAAGAAATTTGGTGCGAGTATTAGATAATACAAATGTTTTTTTAAGAACAAGCATAGAAGAGGTTTAAACGTAAAGTTTGAATGAATGAAAGTTTGAGTATTTATAGATTGCAAACGACGGCTCAAAACCCGTAATAGCCTACCAACAACTGACGAACATTAAATACCTCTAAAGACGTGACCGGCGAGACGTTTCATCAGTTTTATCATTTCTGGCACGAAGAATCCAGACGCAGATCGAGGGCTCATATCGTTTATCATCATTTATTCTCCGAAAAATGAGGGGACTATCTGTATACGGTCGAAACCGGGCTCATCTATTGCATGACAAACCGGGGCTGAAACGTGATAGGTTAAAGATCGACCCGAATTATATTGAACCAAGGCACGGAGTTAGAGCATGCGTCTTCAAGACCATCGAGCACATAGCTCCGAAACGACCCCGATTCTGACCAAGCTCAAAGAAATATTATCGGACCGAATAACGGAATGCCAAAATATTCGTAATCGGTCGGATATCACGGCAGGAATTTCGGTATGTATCAACGAGCGGCCGAATAATTAGCAAATCATGAGATTTCTTACCTTTGTAGAATTGTATCTAAAGTAGGACTTCCCTACTATATAAATGAGGTTTGATTATTTTTAATACACCCTGCAACATCAATACACTGTTATTTTTAGTTCTTATTATCTTGTGGCTTTGTTCTGACATCTATTGAGGCACTTTCTAGCTCGAGGATGATCCAACTTCAAGGCTAAGACTGTTCAATTTGTGTGGTTTGAATTTATTTTCTTATCATTCATTTCAGTATTAATCTATTTTCTCAAATTTGTATCAAGTTATATCATGTATCCTTAAAACCACATATAAATTCAATTGTTATCCGATTTGTAGGGTAAACACACATATATAACTAGATTAGAATATTAATTTGTATTTCCATTTTAGAATTCAACGAGGTATAATATTTGTAATTTACATTTTTTCTGCCTCATTTGTTTTTTTTAAGATTAAGTCTGAATCTGATTACACATCTGGATATCAAGATGTGTATTAAGATTAAGATATTTGAATCTGAATACACATCTGAATATATTAAGATGTGTATTAAGATCTGAATACTAAATAATTAAGACTGTTTGATTTTTAACATCTAAATGTATAAAATTTATCTTTATTTGAAAATTAATAAACATATAATTCAAATGAAATACTAACTAATCTAATATTCTATTAATAAAATATATAGTTTTTTTTTAAAATATGATAGTTGGTGGTGGTGATGGCTAACGGTTGAATGCCGACTAGAGGCGGTGGTTGGTGGTAATTTTGGTTGATGATGGTGGTTCATGCTAGTAGCTAGTAGTGATTGGTAATGGTGGCGATTATGATTGAGGATGGTGGTGGTGGGTGGTGATAGTTAATAATGGTGGATGATAGTAGTAGTTGTGACTGATGAAGTTGGTCGATGGGTGGTAGTAAATTATAATGATGGGCAGTGTCGGCTGTGGTTGTTGATGGTGATGGGGTGGTCAGTTGTGGTTGTTGATGGTGATGGGGTGGTCAGTTGTGGTAGTTGAGGTGGATGAGTGTTTATA